GGGGAGTTTGTAGATATTGAAAATATCAGGAGGTAAGTCAAGTTTACCTGGAGTTTGACTTTTTTTTTGAAGGAAGATTGACATCGGAGGTAAAATACTCGGGACTAGGCTTAAAATACTCAGGGCTATAGCCCCGAGGAATCACACCTAACAACACCCATGGTTGGCACCCGATCCTGGGTAGTTCCCTGCCTCGCACCCATGGCCTCCGGGATAGGCTCCAGACCCCCCACGACCCTGAATAGGATAAGTGGTTACAGAAAATGGATGGGTGGGGGTTTTTTGTCTTATGTGTGTGTCTGTGTGTTTAAAGAACTGCACTGAACAGCTAAATGAATAAAAGTGTCATTTTTTCCCTGGGATAATTGAGCTATTTAAAACAAACATTTTTGAAAAATGTTGTTGTTGTAAAGGGACAGAGATAAAAGAATGAGGTTCAGAATCGTGGCTTTTGCTGAAATGCCTGGGGTGCCGGACCTTTGAGCATAGGAAGGCTCAAAGGGCAATTTATTTTTCCACGTGCACCTTCGGTTGCGGACGAGGAAACGCGACGTAAATTTCGTCATCAGGGCTTGGCTGCGAACGGCTGCGGTCGGTACGCGTGTAGTCCAGATTTTTATGTTTTGCGGAAAGCGTGTGGATCGGACGCATATGTGCAATATAATTGATTAGCTGTTTCCAGTCGTTGGCAGCGCCGACCTTCACAGATCAGCGGTCAACGACAAAAGCGTAGAGGAAGAATAGCTGTTGTTGTACTAGTTATGGAGAACAGCTGTATGAGGGGGGTCGGTGGTGCTTGCATATCTAATTTTTCATACTTTCCAAACATTATACCGTGATATACGGTATTTTAAAGACAGGTGTTGTGCCGAATTCTGAACCCCTGCCGATTCGAAGGGGGGAAAGTAGTAGTTCCGTCCATCTAAATGTGCAACATAAATATTAAATTGCGTTTGCACATTTAAAACACGTTTATCACTGTTTAACATCACAAAAGCTGCATTTAACCCATATAAAACTGATAAACTATATGATGAGATGTAGATGATGAGCCCCGTACGAGAACATAGGTTATTTGTCTCTTCATTAGTTTACTAGTTTATGAATAAGGAAGTTCTTGACTTTATTAACCAAAGAAAATTACACAATATGATTTCTTATACACATTTAGTCATTTCTTTTTCTCCACAATGAAGAGAATGTTCTGGTACAGTAATCTTAAACAAGTAAACAAACAAAGAGTTTGCACTGTTGATTGATGTTGGTCCATTATGTGGATTTATGAAAAGCATTTTAGGAGAAGATCAACTGGGGGGGTTGGGGGGTGGGTGAAGGGGGTGTGTGCATCCTTATGCATAAGGGTATGCACCCTTTTCAAATGTAGCTGCACTGAAATTTTGATCTGTGAAGTTTGCTCAGATAATACACATTGTGGACCTAAAGCTATCAAAAAAATTGATACCTGTCGTTTTACTACATTATTATTACAGAAATATATCTTAATATAAGCTTATCAGTAATGTATTACAATACTGTAGAAATTACCCAGACTCCTTCAACCAAAATATGGCAGAGGTTGCCGAAAATGTCTGTGAAGATAGCAAACATTTCAATTTAGTAAATACATCAATAAAATACAAAAACCAAATCTGGTGTAATGTTAAACGTCCTGTATATAATAGGTACAGTGTTTTATACTGTCCTTTTAATAAGGAACACATTTCAGAAAAAGAGTCACACTCATCATGTACCAGATTTTTGAGAGGAGAGTCAAAGCAATATCCAGCCTCAGTTTCTCAATTGCCTTTTCGTCTGTCTGTATATTAATAGCCACCTATTAATATGCTCTCAGCAAACTGAAATAGATTTTATTTAAATCAGACTTTCAGGACAAGATCTAGTGTTTTATTACACTGACACTTAATTACTCTAAAGTCAAGTAACATTTTCATTTCAATACAAATTGTCAGTGTAAACAACTATTCAATACTTACTTTCAAAGCTGAGACACCGAAGGATATGTCGCCTTTCTGACATTCATGAGGGAGAGCACTGCAGGTCCTCCTTGGAACAATGCAGGATATGCCGCCTTTCTGACATTCATGAGGGAGAGCAC